AGAGAAGATTGAAGTATCAAGAGATGTGGAGTTTGATGAAAATAAGAAGTGGAGTTGGGATAGACAAGAAGAAGTTGATAAGATCATTGTCTTATCTACTAATGACGTACAAGAGCCAAGAAATCTAAGAGAGAGAAACGACAGCCCTGTTTTGTCTCAAGTCAATAATGATGAGCCAAGAAATCAACCAGAGAGGATTCACGGCTCTGATTGGTCTCAAGTCAATGAAGAAGGAGAAAATTCAGAAACACCTCCAAAGAGATACAAGTCTATGAAAGAAATCTTGCAAAATGCAGAATGTATGGAGGTGGAAGAAGCAGCTCAAGTCATAGAAGTTTGTCTCCTTGCACATGAAGAACCACGAACCTATGATGAAGCTTGTGATAATGAAGAATGGAGAAAGGCTATGAGAGAGGAGATAGAAACGATCGAGAAAAACAGAACTTGGGAACTAGTTGACAAGCCGGAGAAAAAGAATGTGATAAGCGTGAAGTGGATCTATAAGATCAAAACGGATGCGAACGGAAATCACATCAAACACAAGGCAAGACTGGTTGCGAGAGGGTTTTCTCAAGAATATGGAGTTGATTATCTTGAGACATTCGCCCCTGTTTCAAGATATGATACAATACGAGCTTTGCTTGCATATGCGGCTCAAATGGAGTGGAGACTCTACCAAATGGACGTCAAGTCGGCGTTTTTAAACGGAGAGCTTGAAGAAGAAGTTTATGTCACACAACCACCTGGGTTTGTGATTAAAGGAAAAGAAGAGAAGGTGTTAAGGTTACACAAAGCCTTGTATGGTCTTAAGCAAGCCCCACGAGCATGGTATGGAAGAATAGATTCTTACTTTATTCAAAATGATTTTGATAGAAGTATGAATGATGCGGCATTGTATGTTAAGAAGCAAGGAGGAAACGTGTTGATCGTTAGCTTATACGTTGATGATATTATCATCACCGGAAACAATGTTCAGCTTATCAACACATTCAAGGAGAACATGAAGAACGAGTTCGAGATGACGGATCTTGGTTTGCTAAACTACTTTCTTGGAATGGAAGTAAACCAAGATGAACGTGGCATTTTTCTTTCACAAGAAAAATATGCTAACAAACTTATTGATAAGTTTGGGATGAAAGAAAGCAAGAGTGTAAGTACTCCACTTACACCACAGGGAAAAAAAGAAGAAGATGGCAAAGAATATGGAGATCCAACGAAGTATAGAAGCATGGTTGGAGGGCTGTTGTATTTGTGTGCATCAAGACCTGATGTGATGTATGCAAGCTTCTATCTATCAAGATACATGTCATCACCACGTATGAAGCACTATCAAGAAGCTAAAAGGGTACTAAGATACATCAAAGGAACGGCAAGCTTTGGAGTGTTATTCACAAGTGCAAAGGTACCAAGGTTAATAGCTTACTCGGATAGCGATTGGGGTGGTTCTCCTGAAGACAAGAAAAGCACCACAGGTTATGTTTTTACTCTAGGATCTGCTATGTTTTGTTGGCAATCATGTAAGCAGCAAACGGTGGCACAATCAACTGCGGAGGCAGAGTACATTGCTGTATGTGCAGCAACAAACCAAGCGATATGGTTACAAAGAATCTTGGAGGATTTTGGGTTACAGTTTGAAGAAGGGACTCCCATCTACTGTGACAACAAGTCGGCAATAGCAATTGGAAAGAATCCGGTGCAGCATAGAAGAACGAAGCACATAGAGATTAAGTACCATTTCGTACGAGAAGCTGAGCAGAAAGGACTCATTCAACTTGAGTATTGCAAAGGAGAAGATCAACTCGCCGATATACTCACCAAGGCCTTAAGCGTCTCAAGGTTCGAAGAGCTTAGAAGGAAGCTTGGAGTAAAGCCGAGATATGATTAAGGGGGAGTGTTGGAGTATAATCACATCTCGTCACATAAGTTAGTTACTTGTTCAAGAGACACAAGTTGTCTTGTTCTAAACAGTTGTGTCTTTTAGATTAAGAGTTGTGTCTCTTCCTTAGATAGACACAATTGTTCACTTGTTATAAATAGAGAATGTGTCTTTGTTTCTGTAACACAACACAATTCAGTTTGTAATACAATCAAGTCAATAAAGGTTTTATTACATTCATACTCTGTTTTTCACCATCGTAACACAAATCTCAGATTCTTAACATGGGCACCTGTGGCTCTAAGAACTGGGTTTCAGCCTCTTCACTCTTGGGATTCAACCCTCACCCAGATGCAACTCTTACAAGGACCAAAAGGAAAGAAACGTCTCACTCTTTTAGCTTGGCAGTGCTCTCTTTACTTGCTTTGGGGAGAGAGGAACAATCGACTTCATCGGCAAAGTTTCAAAACTACAGATTCTATAAGGCGTCTTATAGACTCAATCATCCGAAACAAGATTTCTACCTTCAGAGACTCAAATCCTTCCATGGCTTCTTTGATGTTCCAACAATGGATCTCCAATCCTTGACTTTCTGTGGCCGACGCTTCACTATTCCATCGACTTCGTTCCTATTTTGGTTCAACCGTAAGATCTAATTGATGTGTTCTATCTTTGCTCATTGGGCTTTTGTTCATTTATTTTGGCTAAGGCCTTTAACTTTAAACTAGAGCCGGGCTGGGCTTTTGTATCTTTTCTTTCCTTATGCATTTTAATAGAAAACCTTTTTTCAAAAAAAAAAAAAAAGGAAGTTTGGACCTTTGGAAATAAAACGACTATTTGTAGCCGGTTCGGTTCCCGGTTGATACGTTTAAAGTCAACGATCTATCGATCAAAAGCAAACCACAGTATGGAAAGCGCATGCATCATATGGGCCTATATGTTAACACTTAAGAGAGCCCATACTCAAAAAGTTTGGCCCAATCAGTAGTAGGCGTTTAGGCAGGCGGTGGGAGACGTCGAGCAAGGCTTAGGGCTTCTACAGATCACCGGCGGTATTGGTCTTCGCGTCGGAGCCATGGTTGGTGAGTGCAATCGGTTTGGTGTCATGGGGTTATCTTCTTTTTCGGTGGTTTAACATGTAATTGATTTTCAATTGCAGAGAGAGAGGAGCGAGTTTCACTGGAACTCAGCGAAGAAATTATACAGAGCATGGAACCTGGTGCCGTTTTCAGAGACTATGTAATTTCTCCTTACTTACCCCTTCTCTCCGATTTTGTGCCATTGAAGGTTTTTCAAGAAGAAAGCTTTTTGTTTGTTTGGTAATCAGAATTGCAGGATCAGCTCCATTGACTTTAACAAAACTTCTACTTATATGGTCACTGCTAGCGACGATGACTCAATTCGTCTCTATGATGTTGCATCCGCTACGTGAGATCTTTCAACTCCAATACTTTGCCTTGGGACACTTTTCTCTCTTGAACAATCACAACTTTGTTTTTCAGTGTTTCGTTTTCTTGTTTCAGATGTCTCAAGACTATCAATAGCAAAAAGTACGGTGTTGATCTTGTTTGCTTCACTTCCCATCCCACAACTGTCATCTACTCTTCCAGAAACGGATGGGACGGTGAGCCCCTATTCATGTGCATTGCTTTCCATTTCCTCTTTCTCTCATTTTCTTTTACTAACTTCCATATCTGTTTAGACTCTCTGAGGCTTCTCTCTTTGCACGATAACAAGTACTTGCGTTACTTCAAAGGACATCATGACAGGTTTCTTTCTCTTCTTCTGCTACTTTTTTCATTTTTTTATTTCATTACCGGATCCGTGATTAATCCCTATATTTTATACCGCAGAGTTGTTTCGCTTAGCTTGTGCTCTGGTGGGGAGTCCTTCATATCCGGTTCTCTTGACCGAACTGTCTTGCTTTGGGATCAAAGGGTCGAGAAATGTCAGGTACATTACCTTTTTTTCTCTTAGCCTAGGTGCTTTTGGAGTTCTTACATCAGTCACCACCTTATCCGATTGAACATTTGGTTTAAACATAGGGTCTCTTACGAGTCCAGGGAAGGCCTGCTGCAGCTTATGATGATCAAGGGTTAGTTTTTGCAATTGCCTTTGGTGGCTACATAAGAATGTTTGATGCCCGTATGTACGAAAAGGTTTGTTATTATGCTACCAATAATCCTTCTCTTCTTTTGCAGCTTGATGGACCACCTATATTCACTTTCCTTATTATACATTCACCTTCTTCTAAATTCTCTTGCACAGGGTCCTTTTGAAATATTTTCCGTTGGAGGTGATTTTTCTGAGGCAAATGTTGTCAAATTTAGTAATGATGGAAGGCTCATACTGCTCACAACCATGGATGGCTATATTCATGTGCTTGACTCGTTTCGTGGAACCCTCGTATGCCTTTTTTTTTTTTCATTTTCAGAAACATGACAAAAACATACATAAACAGGTTACGTGACTCTCTTTTTTTTTTCCGGTCAATTACGTTACAGCTATCCACTTATAATGTGAAACCAGTAGCTGAAGAATCTACATTGGATGCAACCTTCAGTCCTGAAGGGATGTTTGTTGTTTCAGGTAACATCTGAGTTATATCTGATTTGGATGATGCATAATTGCACTCACACACGTCCTCACAGTCACATTTAAAAAAAACCCTTATTGATGATTTTCGTCATCCATCCGTATGGTAGGTTCAGGCGATGGTAGTACCCATGCATGGGGTGTAAGGAGCGGAAAACAGGTCGGTGGACTAGCAAAGTAGCTGTAGTTTGTCGTTCCATGGAAAGTTTGTTGCATTTTGTATGTTTTATGTGTGCTGACTGGATCATTGTATGTGTGTAGGTACATAGTTGGATGGGTATAGGCAGTGAGCCCCCAGTTATAAAATGGGCTCCGGGAAGTCCAATGTTTGTGACAGGCTCTTCAGAACTTGCTTTTGTAATCCCTGACTTATCAAAGTTGCCAGCTTACTCCATAAGGAAATAGGAGTGACATTGACTGTAATGTGCCATGTAAAGGAGTCTAGTCTTCCTCAGTTAGGCATTGGTTGAGACAGTGGTGTTGGTGAAGCCGGTAACTTATTACGATTACTACTTTGTTTGTCTTGTATTCTAACAAGTACCCCTAAAGATAGATAAATCTCAAGTCTCAGCAGACTGTTTCTGTCTGATTGATTCTTCCACAAGATTAAATTCGGTAAGCAATCGATCTGAGAGGAGTAAGTTAAAATAGTGGGCCGACACAAGTAAAGGCCCAATAAAAGCCCAAGTTCGAACAAAAGCGGAGTTAGGAATGTTTGTTGCCGTCAGATAAAGGAAAACTGATTAGGGAGGAAACTTTGTGAATCTCTCTCTCTCTCTGAAAGGGACAAATTAATAAGAGACGCGTGTTGTTTTTCTCTTAATCCATAAAGCCAACGAGACCCGCTTTTCAGAACCGAGTCAACCCGACCCGCCTTCGTCTCCTCTCCCTCGATTGATAGGCCGGTGCCTCCCGAAATCACTGGGAAAGTCCATCTAGGTTTGTCATTTCATTTTTCCTAGTCACAGTTTTGTTATAAGGATTACGTTTATTTTTTAAAAAATGTTGTTTGGGTTGTGTGTTGCGATTGATCGTTGTTGAAATGTTTCGAGTCAAATCGGTTCTTGAAGGGTTTCTTGATTTTGACTTTTTGGAAGTCAATTTCCCCATTCCTAAACTTGCTGGATGTTCAACTTGAATGCATTCTCATTTGTATGTTTCTTACCGATTTCAGTTTCTTTTGGGATCAAGTATGGCTGCAAAGGAACTGTTTTCTACCTCAAGCTTAGAATCGAAGATGACTGAGGATCATCACATCTTGATGCCAGCTATGGATAGGAGGAGCCCCTCCTCCACCGTCAGTGTTCTCCAAGGCAATTTCCTTACTGTTGAGGACTCTGCTCTCCTTCCCAAAGAGGAAGAGATTGATATTCTCTGGAGTCGTGTTAAAACTGCTACAGCGTTATTGTCCTACCTGAAATCGAAGGCAACTACTGTGGCTGCTGCTGATTTGGCCTGTCTATCTCTCGGAACTGACCACCTCCGAGGATCCACCGATGGACATGATGCCACTTTTGTCACTGAGATGCTCAACCATGTAGAGACCGTTACAGGCGTCATGGAGTCTCTGGCTAGGCGTGCTATAGTCGCCGAATCACAAGCCGCAATTGAGAAAGCCAAACTTATATTAAGTCAAGAAGAAATTCAAAGAAAAGTTGGCCAAATCGACAACATGTCAACCATGTTGGCGGACATGGAAAAGTTTGCTCTTGGGACCAGTAGTATTCTCTGTGAGATGCGCCAGAGGGTTGATGATTTGGTCGAAGAGACGTCTAGGCAGAAGCTTAGAGCTACCGAAAATGAGCAGGAACTCAGTCGTGTCAGGAGAGACTTTGAGTCCCTCAAATCCTATGTTACAAGTCTCATCAGCGTCAGAGAAACACTCGTCTCATCTGAGAAGCAGTTCCAAACAATCGAGAGACTTTTTGAACGGTGAGCATGTCTTCTACTTCTTTCTTGGCTTTCCATCAACTCATTGCTTAGGCTTTATAATTTGCAAATTTTATCATCATTCCATTAATTTGCCTAGTCATTGTGTAGGCTCTAGAACTTGTCTTTGGTAGTTGATAACCATCACAGACGAGATTTATCATCGTGGGATTCTGATGATGTTTTACTCTATTCTTAGGTGTTTGATAACGACTAGTCTCAAAAACTTCATACTTGTTTGTGTATCAAATAGTGACATATATATTTCCTTCCCTATTGTGATTTTGAGTTCATGGCTGTCAATGATGATGAAACAGGCTTGTTGCCAAGACAACGCAGTTGGAAAGCGAGAAAGTACAGAAAGAAGCAGAAGTTCAGAAACTAATGGAAGAGAATGTAAGACTGACGGCTCTTGTGGACAAGAAAGAGGCACAGCTACTGGCCATGAATGAGCAGTGCAAAATGATGGCCCTGAGCTCTATATGATGGCTTATAGATGAAGATTGCTACTTTTTCTTTCTTCCACATGTAACATCAAGAAATCCTCATTTGATACAACTGCCATGTTTGTTGATATCCAAAAGGCAAAAAAAAAAAATATTGGTCCTTGGAAGACTCTATAAATATGTTAATATACATTCTGTGCTTGTTAAATTGCATTATGGTTTGGCTTGCTCCAGGGTTTAGGGTTTTAGGCTTGATGGAATTGGTTGGGACATCATCAGCTTCTCTATGAGAGAATCTCAAAACCAATTGGGTTTGGTCGGACCGAGAGGACGGTAATGATTGGCGGCTGCACGAGACTGTATGGGCTTTCTGTTATATTTCCGTTAATGGGGTTTTGTCTGTAATACATCATTGCTCCATTTCTTTCATCCACAGAACATGAAGAGCCGTCGTCGCCCATGTTCTCTTCGTCAATCTGAAAATCCCTGACATATATATATATATTTTTTTATATCTATACTTTGTGGTAGATGTAACTTCTTCACTCACCATGCACTGTGAAGTTACATGATCTTAATCTATACAAATATGGGGAACTCATAGTTTAAATTGTCACACATATCCCAAGATTGTATAGTGGTATTAGTTTTTAATGTCTTTTAGAATGACATAGAACATATATATCTAAACTATACATGTCTATAATGGAAAAGTGTTGTACATGGTGAGTCCCATAACGTTGAAACATTATGTTAACACACAGTTTAATTCTCTATGAATAACATGTGAAAATATATATTTTATATATTCCTCATCATATATGTGCGTATAAATACGAGTCACCACCACCTCTATCTCGTTATCTATATAGTCAAACGGAGGAGAAGCGAAAACACAGAGACCCAAAGAAAAAGGATCTTTGCCATAGATGGGAGTAGAAAGGGGAAGTGGAAAGGCTCTGAAGAAGATGTTGAAGAGATGTTCGAGTTTGGGGAAGAAGAGTGACGTTGACGTTAGCTTTAGCGGCGTCCCCAAAGGTCACTTCGTCGTATACGTTGGTCATTCCAGATCCCGACACGTCATCCCCATCTCCTTCCTCACGCACCCCATCTTCCAGGTCTAATATATATATAACCTGCATGGATCTTCTTCTCATTAATTGATTGCATCCCATGTGTATAAATGTTTGATGCTTATATATATATTTGATGTTCATGAAACAGATGTTGCTGCAACAGTCTGAGGAAGAGTTTGGGTTCTTCCAAGACAATGGACTAACCATCCCTTGTGATGAGCAATTCTTTCGATCACTTATTTCCTCCATTAATCCTTGAAGAAGAGAGCATGGCTATATATGTGCCTAGCTACTTGTGTATATCGTCATATATTTTCGTCCTAGATTAGTTCTCTCATGTATTCATATTGCATGATGTCCTTTGAGAGTTGTAGAGTTCACGTTACGTAAGTACTTTTGTTTATTTAACCTCATTTTCTCGGATGATTCTAAAACCAAAGGCGTTACATATACAAATTGTAGGGCAGAAGCTATAAACAAAAGACAGATCATACAGCAGAACTACATCGCATCTCTCTATCATTTCTTTTTTTGTATATTATGATTGGACGCCTCCACCATAATGCTGTCCTTTTGCAATTCTATATACATATATCCCTATAACATCAACAAATTGTCGCTCTCGACACGCTTGGACCCTTTCTCCACCAAATAGAGAGGGTCACTGGCCACACATAGTTCTCTCAACACACGACCAAAATTGTCAAAGTTTTGATATTCTATAGTTACTACTATTCGAACATATAGATGCTATTCTTATTCATTTGAGTATTTGGTCTTTGTAACTATATATTCTACTTCACACCCAAGTAAACGCGCATGATCATATGTGTATACACGACACATCACCTACGACCTACCTTGAAAGTGGACTTTATCCATGATGATGTCACGGCCGGATCGGATAAGCCCTAGTCACAAAAACAACAATGTTTTCAGATTTCTATTTTTTCATTATATGATGTTAAACAAATCTTGGAGGTGGTATATATGTCACCACCACCACCACAAAAACACGACAAGAGATTTTCCATTTCACTATAAAATTTCAGATTATTTTGCAAAACCATATAATTTATATAAGTAAACGTCTTCTATATCGCACAGACTTCGGACACTTGGCTCCCTATAAGTATGATTTCATCGTGATATTAATATTCGCATCGTATAGGTGGTGACGTAATTGACATAGCAACGATCAACTGTTCTTAGCAATTGATATTCATGACTTGATCAAACTATATACTATCTAATTAACTACCATCCAAAATTCTAATCATTCATTTATATCGCGTGAAAACAAAAACTTAAGTAACCGTTTCAGTTAATCGTTATGCATTATACACAACATGTACTTTTGGATAAACTCGAAGTCTTTAATCATCTATGTATTTGGTAACACCAATCACAAATCATATTTATTGGTGTATAACTATTTATTAAAATAGAACAGACAAGAAATTGTGAGTTTTAGTTGAGAGGAGGTGTGGGGTTCTCATGTCGGGTGGTCTCTTATATGTGAGCTTTTTCTACTGATTTGCCCATTGTTTCCCTCTTCATATAATTGATTGTCACCAAATATAATCTTGGCATAAAAATGGTTTTTATGAAACCTTAAGTCTTGTTTTCACTAGATTAATTAACAAAATAGAGACTAATGTGGTTATGTTTCATTGATTCTAATTTCTTTTCATTTGGATGAACTCTCTTAATGTGTTAATCCACAGATTATAAAGTTATATTACATATATAAATTAATGGTAGAAAAAGTGGACTAATCTCAAGTGATATCATCAACTAATAATATAATGGATCCGTGTGCTTTATAAAATAGGACGGCTACAAAATTGCTCAACTTTCCAAAATTCTTTGTCGAAGTTAATAAAGTATTGGCCTTCTGTAGATATAGATGGCCAAAAGAAATGTAACTGCAAAGGGTAAACCAAAAAAACAAAGGACATGATGACTAACTTTGAGAAACTAGTTTATCAGAATTTGGATGAAGCTATTTACCAATATTTCAAACATGATTTGGGTTAAGTTTGAGTGATATCGTAGCATGTTTACGATCTATACTTAAGTCTCTTAGCTTTGGGAAAACGAGGAGCAACATCAGCCCACAACCTTTTAGAGCGGTCGTGAAGATACAAGCAACTCTCGCCGAGCCTACACCCTTTGGCTCTGTTAAAAAACATGCACTGTTTCTGAATCTTAACCTTTACGACTTTCATATCATCAACTCTACCTTTGTAATTGTTATTTTGATTTGTTGCCGGACTGACTCCCCCATGTTCCCTAATGAGGTTCTTGAAGTAGTCTAGGTTTTTCACAGGCTTTGCAGAAACCTGATCACCCCGGTTTATATTACCATTACGGATTTGAAGATCTGTTTCAGTCTGAGCTGATTCCGGTATCCTATTGATATCCCGAGTGCTGGAAGCGGACACGTTAAGGGATTGGGTCTTTTGTTCCGAGACTAGAACATTTTCAACTGGGCTTGGTTTCAATGGAGCAGCTGTGTAAGAATCTTCTTCTTCAACTCTTGTCAATGGTTCGATGCCAGAAGACAATGGAACTAGGGTCGGTTTCATTGATAGAGCAGTCGACATGGGCTGAGTGGGTTTGGGGAGTGGAGGAACCGTAGCACTGGACTGAACCGGAACATGTACATTGTGTGGCACACCATTTCTAGGTATGTGAAGTCTAGGATTGGTGATGTCAGTGTTCATACTGTCACCATTTGCGGTTTCAAGTGGTTTACTATTCATGTCATTCAACAAGTTGGCGACGATTTTGGGGTCACTGAGTAACTTGACAAGTAAAGCAGCATCGACCTGACAGCCCTGTTCCTTGGTTAAGGCAGACAAAGCGGCAGAAGCAGCGAGACTCAACTCAGGTCCAAGTAGAGAAACAGCTGAAGGAGCCTCGAAATGGTGAGAAGAAGATTGTAAAGCAGCAGCACGATCGTCTTCAATGGGAGTGAGACGGATAATAGGAGTATAGCTGTCGTCATAGTGGGATTGTTCTACAGCCGGTGAGACGGAAGGACTAGAGAGAGAGATAAGAGATAATTACTAGTGCATTGGCACAAAAGAAAGGTCGTCTAAGATTAAAGAAAAACAAACAAAATATATACCGAGCAGGGATGACAGAGCGGTGAGGATAGAAAGCTTCCAAGACTTTAGCGATCCTCAAATTCTCGGAAGGAGTTTCGGTGCTGTCACCACCAGTCCCGCCAAGGAAAGCATCATCGATGATAAACTGATGAGTCGGATAAAGAAAGAAACAGAGTTTTTTTGAGATATTAAGAAAAGAAAGAAAGATACCAAAAAAAATAGTTTAGGATAGGAATAGAAAAGACCTTGGGTGGGGGTATCCATTTGATGAGGGGAATGGTAGAGGTACGCCTGGATGCGTAGTCAGAAGCTTCAAATCCAGGTGGAAGATTGGATGATGCAACTTCAGCGGGACAATCATCAGTTAGAAACATCTTCACCTGTTTGTCACATTTTTGTTTAAGTCAGTAAGTGCAAGTCTCCTCTCAGCAGCCACAACGTCGTTTTCAATTCATATACTAAAAAGATATGAAAAAAGGCAACCCTCCTCCTAGATGTTTCACTATTTCAGGATCACAAACTTTCTCAAAATTATTAAAATCCACATTTGTTTGTTTGTTGTTCTTTTTTTTTTTTGGGGGCATCTCTTTCTTGCAGTTGTTTAAGCCTCTCAACGTATTCATTCTCTGCTACGGTAAACTTACTACATGGGTGGTTCTACTTTGGACCACATCACATTACAATTCAAGATTACAACCAAAAAAACATTAAAAAAAGGTATGTTGCTTTGAGGATGACTTATCATAATCGATTCAATTAAGCAAAAAAAAAAGAACAAGTGAATAATTAAATCAGTCAAATCAAATTAAAAAAAAATATCAAAAAGGATTGGTGACGACTGATATTGTGAATGTCCGAATTAAACTTGAATTTGACTTTGGGGGAGGTCTGATGATTAAAAGATAAAAAGGAGTAAGGAAGATCTCTATCGGGAGACGAATGGAATGGAGTGGCCAAAAATACCTGAGAAAGCAAACTATCTGATGCCCATGACACTCTTGATGATTTCTTCTTCCCTGTTTTCTTCATATTACTATTCCCTAAAACTTCAAATAAAGACTACTTTTTCTTTTCTTTTCTTTTGGGGTCAAAGAGTCAATAAGAAACCAATTCACTCTCAGAAACGAAACGACTAGTATTAGTAGTAATCCTCTCCCTATTTGAGGAATAAGAAGAGACGTCGGCGATACGATTTGTGTTGTGTGGAATGAGAGAGAGAGAAAGATGATACAGTAATTGAATCCAACCCCAAAACTAAAAAAAACAAATAAAACCCTAACAGTCGCGCACACCCTTTTTTTTTCTTTTTCTTAATTACTCTTTTTATTTTTATTTTCTTATAACTCTAATGGGTTAATATACCTATAAATGGAGGCGCTGATTGGCTCCCACCATTCCTAATCATATTTTTAATTTACTTATTATTACTCTCTCGACGATTTATTTTACCCACTCACATTTAATTATTCACAATAAACTCCCTTTTTAACGTTACGTTTTTCTTTTCTTTATTCCTTTAAATTTTGAAATTTGAATCTTATTAATTTGGAGTATTTACTAAAGTAGAAATCGCGAACAAAAAATAAAGCGGCCTTTCAAGTGCGGCAGTACAAAGTTAAGTGGGCATTTAATAGAAGTCTGTGTGCTGGGCCACAAAAGGGCTTTGAGGTGCAGGCCAAATTTTAGTGGGCTTAAATATATAATTATAGCCTCTTAAGGGGCCGGTTGCTTGCGTTCAGTGGCGTTTTGAGTTCATAAACTAATGGCAGGGTTGGTCAACGCTTGCCGGCGATTAACGAAACCATGTACACCTTTACGTAGCGACGAATACAGAGAGGTTCACCTTTTTTAAAGTTACTAAAGTAACCCTCACTCTCTCACTACCCCCTCCAAGTCCGTGGCTTATAAAGTCCATTGGGAGCTTGAAATCAAAATACAAAGCGCGACGTGCCCAATCATTTTTCTTCTGATCCGATCTGACTCTCCCATCCATCCTCCTCTCCTAATGGCGTCCCAAGACAATGTGTCCAGATCTCCTCCTGCTAATGCCCACCCCATGAAGATCGCATTGGTCACCGGCATCACCGGCCAGGATGGTTCATACCTCACGGAGTTCCTACTCCAGAAAGGCTACCAAGTTCACGGCCTTATCCGACGTTCCTCCAATTTCAACACTCAGCGACTCAACCATATCTACGTCGACCCCCACAATGCCAACAAAGCTCGCATGAAGCTCCACTACGCTGATCTCTCTGATGCCTCCTCTCTCCGCCGTTGGCTCGATGTCATCAAGCCTGACGAGGTCTACAACCTTGCTGCTCAGTCCCACGTTGCTGTCTCCTTCGAGATCCCTGACTACACTGCTGATGTCGTCGCTACTGGAGCTCTCCGCCTCCTCGAGGCTGTCAGATCTCACAACATCGACAACGGCCGCTCCATCAAGTACTACCAGGCCGGCTCCTCCGAGATGTTCGGCTCCACTCCTCCTCCTCAGTCCGAGACCACGCCGTTTCATCCCAGATCTCCCTATGCAGCGTCCAAATGCGCCGCTCACTGGTACACCGTCAACTACCGAGAGGCCTATGGTCTGTACGCCTGCAACGGGATCCTCTTCAACCACGAATCACCACGCCGGGGTGAGAACTTCGTTACTCGGAAAATCACTCGGGCTTTGGGAAGGATCAAGGTCGGATTGCAGACGAAGCTCTTCCTCGGAAATATACAGGCTTCAAGAGACTGGGGCTTCGCAGGAGACTACGTCGAGGCAATGTGGCTGATGCTGCAGCAGGAGAAACCAGATGACTACGTCGTGGCAACTGAGGAATCACACACTGTCGAGGAGTTTCTGGAGGTGTCTTTCAAGTACGTTGGGCTCAACTGGAAAGACCACGTCGAGATCGACAAGAGGTACTTCAGGCCAACAGAGGTGGACAACCTCAAAGGAGACGCAAGCAAGGCAAAGGAGATGTTGGGGTGGAAGCCCAAAGTAGGATTCGAGAAGCTGGTCAAGATGATGGTGGACGAAGACCTTGAGCTGGCTAAGAGGGAGAAAGTGCTTGTCGACGCTGGCTACATGGACGCTAAGCAGCAACCTTGATCTCGAACTACCCAAAGATGAGCCATCAGTATCTTGCTTTTCTTCAATTGAAATCTAGTTTTGTTTCATTTGTTGTTGTTGTCTTTTATTGTTTCAAGTAGTTCAACTTGCGTATAGTCAGTCCATTGTGGATGTTGTACCAAAGGCAAACAGAACATATATATTACATATGAATTTTCCCTTATCGCAACAATGGTTCCTTAGTGTTCACCAGCGATTATACAACTCAGAAAATAAACCAATGTAATGATGTATAAAATATGAAAGCCTAAAAGATGAAATGAAAAACGAAATAAAGATCCACAACAAAAGAGATCAATCAATAGCATCATCATCATGCATCTATGCAAACTCAAAATGAGATCAGAAAATATAGTATAAATCTAGACATATTCTGATTCACCAATCTACCTATTGTTCAGAGTATTTACTCTTATGCATCTTGTTTAGAAGACAGAGTAGTAGTGTTAATACTGACTGAATCAGGTGATGCAAGAGAAAAAGGCGGCACTGTGGACCTTAGAGATTCAGGTCCTTCAGAATTAATTCGCTTACATAATGTATCGCAGTTGTTGATCACTTCTGTTAACCTTCCTTTAAGCTCCCCGAGCTCCACCTGCAAACCATGAACTAAAAATATGTTCCAAGTATAAGAAAAATGAAAAATGAAGTCCAGTGTCAAACACATATGCATAGTCTACACAAACAAAAAGTACCTTGAGATAAATGCTGGGAAGTTGTCCTCATTGCAGAAACAGAGTAGTTGAACCTCTGTAAGAGTTTAGTCGCCAAAGCATCTGCCACTTCTATCTTGTTTTCTATATCTTCCTAGATACATGATACAACATGTAATATAAGTCAGTTTCCCTTTAATTGCTAAACCTACAAACACACTGTCACTGTGATGCACACGCAGAAGTTTCAGACATAGAACCAAAGTAAGTAGAAAATCTATAGAAAAAGAAAAGAAAAGAAAAGGATTGCATTCCTTTGCGCTACATTTGGGAACCAAAAAGAAACACTAATTACTTGGGGAGTCTAAAGAAAGTTGTCGGCTAATTGCAAACATTTGTTAGAGACTGAACTCAAAGGCTAAGAGGAGAAATACTCAGACCATGAGGAGAAAATAAGAGTAAGGAACTCATAGTTGATTGACAAAAGGAGCAAAAAGAAAAGAGAGACCTGTGTCTTGGTGATTTGTTGAGCTTTGCTTTCTTGCCATTCTCGGTAAATGGAGAAGAGCTCTACAAGTATTTGAGGATCAACCGTATCTGGGGAGAAAAGCAGGAAACATGGAGTTGTAAGATGAATGAAGACAAGAAAAGAGTTATTTCATCATTGAGCCTAAGTAAACCGACGACAGGATGCAACAAAACCCAAAGACAAGCAGAACCCCCACAATCCATCATTTGAGGTTTAAAGTTCACCACAAATCCCAATAACAAATGTTTTAAAGAAAGCTCACTGGAAGATGAACTCGACAGAGCTTTTCTCACTAAGATGTCCGTTAAGCTGCTCTCCGTGGGAGGCGACTTCAATATTGGCCTACTCTGCATTTCAAACCAACAACAAAAATATTTAATCGAAAATTGAGAGAAGAAGACTAGTTTCCATGTTCGATTTTGGGCGAATTGGAGTAAACTCACAACTGTGAGGGATTTCAAATTCTCGAGAATGGGATCGACTGTTTCGGATCGATGCGAGATGGTCGTAATCACATCTCCACCTCCATTTTCCTGGAATTTGTTCAAATAATTTCATATATGTACATCGGAGGATTGAAGAACATGATGCCTCAAGAATCAATCAAATCCAAAAACATCATATATACCTGAGCGCCTAGCAGAGTTGAATCTGATGCTCCCATTTGCTTCTTCACTGCTACGAATCGATCCTGTATTTAGATTTTAGAATCAGCATGGTTTTCTTTGCATCCGCCACCACAAGGACAAGGACAAGGAGAGCGCCACTTCACGTTTCGTGAAATCGCAATCCAACGGCGTGACGTTTTACACCGTATGTGAGACGACAATATGTTTTCAAACAGACGCACGAAACAACAGCTCTTTTGGATATGTATTTTTTTAATAATTATTGGGGAAGGGGGACAGAGCATGAGTAAACCACAAACCATGCTTCACCGCGCATGGTAGACAAAGCCCATATTAATTGGGCCCACCTTGAGCCCACTTTCCTTTTAGAACGAATAATTTGAATACCGCGCAATTTGGGACCGTATTGTATTATTCTCGAGTCGCTCTGATGCATTTATGTACGAATAAAACTGAGCAAGTGCATGTAGAGCAATATATATATCTTGTTCGGTTTCTCACCTTCTTCTGTTTATCCATCGGAAATCAATTCCTTTCGTTCAATTTATTACGTACGACCATAATATATATATATATATATATGTGTGTAAGAAAGACTGAAAGTCCCAAATTAAGTACGATGCCGTTTCTTGTGCATGCATGCATAGATTGAAGCCGCTGGCCTCTATTCTTCGCCACTCATCAGCAACTGAGACGCCACGAACTTATCCAGATATCTCCAGTCAGTGATCCTCTTCTCCACGCTCACGTCATCTTTCCGGCCACTCTGCGTCTCGGAGATATTACTCTTCGGAGTCATTTCCCACGGATCCAGAGAGGGGCTCTCGAGCTGAGGAAGCTGCGAGAATTGATCATCTCCCATGGGGTCAAGCAGGTACATAGATCCGTCTTCTACGTGATTGACCTCGGACACTAGTTCTTGCTTAAATGGTGTGACAGCGATATCAGTGTTATGTCTGGCTCGCTTGCCTATAGGTTCCAAGAGAGTGGCGTCATAGAAAAAGCAGTTGGGATCCCAAAGTTGCCTTCTTTTGTTCGGGACTGTCGTTCGTTTCTTGAATGCTCTACACACTACCCATCCTTCTTCCTGTTTCAGTACCGTACCGTTTAATCTTGATCTATATATAAGTAGTAATAGTTTGTTTCTTAATTAATCCATTTACTCTCGAGACCAAGAAAATGAGATACACACAACTTCATTTGAATTATTTCTACGTATATATATGTATATAGTGGGGAAAAAGTGAGAAGAATATTTTGGCTCTACATATATATATAAATAAGATCATTCTTAATTACCGGTGGAGGAGAGCTCTGGTGTGACTCGAGACTGTAGTATTCGTGAATGATCCAATCGGACTTTTGGCCATTAGGAGCTCGTCCTCGGTAAAATACAAGCGTTTTTCTCATACCGATAAGTTTGGAGTTGAGGTAAACGGCCTTGTCCCGCCCTGTTGCCTTCCAGAAACCGGCTACGGTGGCTCGATTAGTCCTAGTTCCAGTCGGATACTTCTTGTCTTTGTGGCTGAAGAAATACCACTCCTTTTGCTCTTCGTACCCTATCCTACATCTCTCTGCATATATAACCAGTCTCATAGGTTGCATATGAATCTTTCATTTTTATACAAATTAATTTATGTAGATCTACATAGTTATCTAGCAGCTTATAGTTTGCTTTCGTCATGTGTACGTATGTTTATACGAAAGTTGTCAAAACCCTAACTTCTAATTTGACCTCCTCTAGATATATAGTCTTAATTATATAGAGTAGATCGATGTATAATTCATAAATTGCATATATTATAGATGGAACCAGCGTTCTTTGGTTAGTACGTATGAACGATAGATCACATGCATATATATATATATATATATATATATTGGTATGATAAGTATATAAGAGGAGAGAGAGATACCTTGTAGATCCCATGGTTCGATCTTGTAAAGATCAATTTCTCTTATAACGTCAAGATCAATCCTCTGGGAGGCGACTTTCTTCTTAAGATAATATCCGACAAGTTCTTCATCTGTCGGATGAAACCTAAATCCAGGCGGAATACTAGAGGACTCCTGATCCAGCCTCATCATATTGATAGTTATCTTTTAGGTTTAGTTATTTTGATGAGGTTTCTTCTTGATCATAGAAAGATCGATCATAGAAGAAACCCGACCGACTCTATCAAGAGGAAAACAATATAGAAGTGAGAGAGAGAGACTTATTGAAGATGTTAATTAGGTACAGAAAAAAGAGAGATATGGACCGTCCACTTGATCGACGACATGTGTGTTTAGACTTCAGAGTGTAATCATAAGCTCATATCGCGTTGGCGTAATTCACCATCAGTCTTTCTATGCGTGTCTCTAGTGTATGCACATATGAACATGTATACTATATAATAGATACACAGAAATACTACTAGTATATTAGAAGATATGAATCTCTAAATTAATATATGAAACGAAGTAATGATTATGTTCGAACTTTTATATATATATATGAAAATGAGAAAAAAATTAAAAATGGTGGGTGGTTCCGTTTTGAGAGAAACGGGAGAGAGAAGCTATGTAAAATCATCATATTGTTTTGAGTTACTTCATGCTCCAAATGATGTTTCCTTCTTCAATCCTGTATTATCTATTATTTATACATTTATATAATATTTTAAAACACTCGAAATCATGAAAAGAATGACTACTGGGAAAACTGAAGATATTGAAGTTCATAGTGCTACACTTTCAATTAGGGTATGACCCTATATATAAATGTAAAATGTGTAATTAAGAATGTGGTGATGTGCGCGCGTAGGTAAAACCTTTATGGTCTGTTTGTCGTTAGTTCTCGTGTCAACACTCTGATCTCTGTGTTTGACAAAACGACTACATGGTTTCTCTCTCTCTCTCACACTTGATTTCACGCCTAGGTACACTAGAAATATATATATAGGTGCATATATTGAACCTAAAAAGCTAGTTGGGGAAGCAATGATCTGATCGAGGGTACATTAATAATAGTGGATTAACTAATTAATCGTAAAATGGATCAAAAGGGACAAAGGGTCATATATATTGGAGTAAGTAGAGATAAAAAAAGACTTGGCATGAATTCGGAGTATATAACAGCATGCATTGAGTATGTACTGTTGGATTGGAAAGGTGGTGGTGGTCGTCGGACGTCGGGTCGTGGTATACATACATATATATATAGTAATAAGCGTAGGATATATGTTGTAGACTTGCTTTTACGGAGAAATTGGACATTGGAAATTGTGGTGTGGATCCATCCCCCTCTGGCCTCCCTCCGTTTGCGCATGGTTTATCTATTACTAGTATTTCTTTCACGAGTCAGTCAGTCAACCACTAGGCACCAGGAGAGTGAGGGGTTATTTTTGTCATTGTGAATGCAGCTGTTGAAAGAGATGGTGAAGTGGAACACACGTGGCAAGGTTTCACTGGTTAGACGGCTATGCTCTTTAATTACATACAAGGCAAAAACAAAACGAGGAAGCCAACGAATGGATTTTGAATGGCCAAATTATGAAATTTAATTCTTGATGTAACCATTAATTACCATGTAGGATTACTGATTACATTACATGATCGAAAATCATTCAGTCTATACACACTCCTAGTCTAGTGTTAGTGTTTTGACTTTTGACTTTCGCCGCTGAGATATATCTATCTGAGAATTTGCTTATATTTTTCTTACTTTCTGTTTTGGTATTTTAAATTAGGAATTGCCCCAGCTTTCATTTCTTTCCCCAATTAATTAATCAACGACTCTGTGTTTTATTATTTTGTGCCTTTTTAGGGTCCGGCATCCCTTTCGTAGGTATATACTGCTGCAAATGTAGATATATAAACATTTTCCAATCAAATTTTATGGCAATTCTGACTCAAATAGGAAATAAACACAGAGACACAGAAAGCCACGATCTTCAAAATTCACTAACTGCAGGAGAGGCGATGAAGGTCTGTGGTTGATTAGAGAGTTAGGTTACAAAAAGGAGAGGGACAAAACGCTGCGTTTCCAAAGACTAGATTTCTTGGGACGAGGTGGTCTGAATGCATACATCTCTCTGGACGTCGAATTCATGTCCACGAACCCGTGGAGCTTACCCACCAGGGAGGCGCTCTCTCGGACATGACCCATGTCTTTGTAATCCGACCACAGCCGGTGTGCCAGCTGGACCCGCCTGTGCCTCGTGTTCAACCCAATGTCCCATCTCATGAACAAGTTCTCTCTCTCTTCTTTCGACAATTTCCTCTGCATCAGCTTGCTCAGCTTATACCTCTCCCTCGTCAACCCCCTCGTGCTGCTTGTTTTTATACATTCCACTACTTTAGTGTTTTTACTAAACCAGAAACCAAATTAACTAGACAAACAATACAATATGAGTTTTTTTTACCAGGAGATTAGGGTCGTCATATTGCCCCCTTCGTTGCTATTTTGAGCAAAAGATTCTCTGATGTACTTAAGTCTACGGAGCTCTACCTCCAAGTACAAGCAATCTTTCTGATCTCCTCTGAACAAAAGGAAGAAGTAGCTTCTGTGAGCCATAGAGACGTTACACACGTGCCATAGCTCTATTATCTCACTCTGTAGCCTCTTGAACTCCTCCGGCCAATTCAAGGGCGTGTCTAAGTAGTCTTGTATTGGGTCCACCGCTGCGTCCTTGAAACTCTTTGTTGAACTCAAGGCTAAGAACTTCTGTTCCATTTCCTCCATCTGCCCAAAAATGAACAGTTCAGTGACACGGACTTAAGTGATTTACGAAAGCAAGTCAAGCAAAACTAACCGAGCGATGGATGATTTGTTTGTCTTTTTGAGCAGCAGTCTCCTCTGTTCTGTCCTGGCTTATCGAAGCTCTACCACTTGTCTGGAGCTCAAACACAGAAGCATCAGATGGCCGGGACGGTGTTTCAATTGGCGAATCTGTTTCGTTACTGATACCATGTGAAGCATCATGCGTCGTTTGAGTGTCACTCAAGCTTCTCTCAAACCAAGTTGTTGGCATGCTCCTTCCGCCAAACTCATCCTGCAGGTTCCTGATATCGCACATTTCCAGGTTGTTCTCAGCTGTTTTGACAAATTCTTTGTCGTACCAGCTTGGCGGTGTATCAGCATCTTTCTCAACCCAAGAGGAGGAAGAGCTCGATAAGAAGCTTGCTCGGCAGCTTTGACTTCGGCTCAGCTTCATGCCTACGAACGGTTGTGAATCTGTCTCCCTATGCCAAGTGAAAAGCGTTTTTGGAGAGGGAGTGATAAGTGCTGGAGGCGTCGGGATTCTTCTCAGGTTAGACATGGTCGAATCAAACTCAACAGGAGAACATTCAAAATCACAGAGTGGAGGAATCTTTTTGAGATTGCTTTTTTGTCTTGCTTGAGGAGAGGCACCACTGACTTCCTTTACTCTTTCTTCTTCTTCGTTTTTTGCTTCTGTGAGGGGTCGTAAGTTCTTTGGCTCTATCACACATACTGGTTCTGCTACATTCACAGCCTCGCATTTGCCTGGACTGCTCTCGGGCATAGTTTTCTCTAGACCTATAGTGATATCTAACTTTTCCGTTTCTATGCACCGAACTTCCCTGCAATTATCCTCAGAATTCCTGTCAGCCTGTTCGGCCTTTTCATCAAACCATTCCTCCTGAACATGAGGTTGATGTGCATTCTCTTCTATGTGAACATGAGGTTGATCTGCAATCTCCTCTATGTGAACATGAGATTGGTGTATAGTTTCTGTCCTGTGAATATCAAGTGGGACCTTAGGGAAACGAGTTACAAACGCAAGCTGTTGAAGCGGACTACTTGATGCAGAATCAATCCTAAAATCTGATAGCTGGGAGACATTTTCTTCATAACTATATTCAGTTGATCGTGGAGATATACTGGAGCGGTGAGCTGATATAGGGCTCAGTGGTGTTGTCTTCTCAGAGTCCCATGTACTGCGCACTCGCAGCTTGGGGTATTGATGTTCCAGAAGAGCCTAGAAATAATTGAATTAATAAGTGGCAGTGGAAGGATATATAGGCTTTCAGTAAGTGATAATAACATACATTTACCTCTATTGTTTCTGTTGCTAGTGTCTCTTTTTCTCGTTGTTTTTCTTCTCCAACCATTCGTCGTAGATCCTCAATCTCAGAACGAGCTTGCTCTAGTTGTTGTGCTAGTTGGAATACCTCTTTCTTTAGCTGTAATAAATAGGATAAATCATAACTCAAGCCTCCAGGAAATTATAGGTCAATTAGTTTGTGAGCAAGACAAGTCAATAAACGCAGTATAAGTGTAGCTGCAGTCGAAGGAAGATGATATATATAACTGTGAGTTCATGGTACAACCTATTTCCTAGAATCTTAAAAGGGTGACTGAAGTACATCCAACTACCTTTTCAACCTCGAGGTCTTTCTCCGTCAGTAATGCAGTAGTGTTAGATACAATGGAAGCCTGACCAGGGCTTCTCAACTCACTTTCCAGTTTAGCCAACTCCCTCTGCAAGTGTTTCACTAAAGCTTTGTCAGACATGACAACATTGACTTGTGCATTTGTTGTCACCTCCTTTGCGCAGCTGGCAAATAACAGTGTGTTTCTTGATTGCTCAACATGGATTCTCGCAGGGCTCATAGTGCAAATAATGGCTGTTCTTGCATTTCCTCCCAAAGAAGACTGCAGTATGCGCGTCAGTTTTGAATCTCTGAACGGAATGTGCCCAGTTTTTCCTTTACTGCATAAAGTAAACCACATAAGCTACAAAGATAGTGAATCACTCAGAAAAAGAACAAAAAAAAGGGAGCCTTGTTCATAGGAACTGATAAAAGGTAAGAAAAGAACAATACAAAAAACTAACATACACATGGTAAAAAGGTGACAACAGGTATAAAGCCATAATTTGAACCAGAGAACTTGACTTTCAAGTACAACAAATGGCTGCTCGGACAGATTAATAGACCATGAAATTCACTTTTAAACTAAAAAGAACAGATCTTAATCTATGGTGGCACAATAAAGAAAATGCTGTGGAAGCTAAGTGCTTACAAGCTCACCTTAGCTTACGGATCACAGTTCCTAGTGTTAACAAACTTCGGTTTATATGACAACCTTCTTTTAACCTTGTGCCGGCTGATAATGATTGAGATGCACGTTCACTTCCAGCAAGATCAATGAAGTTCTGCACGACAAGTAGTTGCTTAATAGAACCCCTCCCCCCCTTCAACTCAATTTTTAGCAGAATATATGATGTGAGGTTCAAATAGATGTACCACTGTCGCTGTTAGTGTACTAAACTTATCATTGGTGGAAAAGTCACGAGCCGTGCTTTCAACTGTCTGTAAGAAGGTAGGAGTACTAAGATATAAGTTGCACAAAAAAAATCATGAAGAAGGCTATATGAAATCATAAATATAAATCAACAAAATGCCTTACCAATCTCAGAATTTGATGAGAGCGGGAGCTAACTTCATTTAGAGCTGTCTCTCCAATTTGCCGTTGAGCTGCAAATGGTAAGACATATGTCAACATTGTTGCAAAACATCACTAGTAGAGACCTGAGATACCAATTTTGAATGATCTGTACCTTCGCAGACAGAGAGGAGTTCCTTGAAATGGTTCCAGTCGAGCAGAGTTTCCTCAGTGAGTTTCTCAACAACTGTCCCTTTCTGTCAGAAAGAAATTTCCCAGCATGAGAGATTGACTGACTGCAAAAAGATAAGTTGTACAAAATGAAAGGATCATAGTTACCTCAGGGTCATCTAAAAGTCTGAGTGGACTAGTATCTGTACTTAAGAGATCTCTTACAGACTCATTGTAGATCTCCATGGCAGAGAACTTTAGAATGAATTCTCTTTCTTTGTGCTGCAGAAATTAAAAAAATTAGCTACAGGTAGAGAATGTAAGATGTAAGGATAATGTATTCTCTCTTTACCTTGCCAATGTAGTCATATATATCAACCAAGGCACAGTCGGTAATTCCGCTCATAGTGTAAGTCTTTCCACTGCTTGTTTGCCCATACGCAAATACACTAGCTAAGAAACATGCATGCGAGTTATATGCAAGGCAAGGAGAGAGAGAGAGAGAGAGTAAAAAACGGAGAAGGAAGGATGAGATACCATTAACGCCACTGACAACGGAGAAAGCGACTTCCTTAGCACCTTGGTCATAGACATGCCTCGTACAACTCTCAGGGCCAAACACTCTGTCTAGAAGCAGAGGAAAGGCTCAGTAAGGCCTGACGAAGAAAGGCCGGGAAGAAAAGACCAAAATCGCTTACCAAACGTGTAAGCAGAAGGATACATGGAACGGTCAGAGATAGAAAGCTGGCTCCTGTAAATGATAGTTGTATTGTTGATGCAGTCCCAGTCGGGGACATTATTCCTTAACCGTTCCTTGTCGTTTAAAGGTCGCATACGAACAGAAACGTAAATCTTTTCCTCAGTGACGCTAGGTCCTTGCATATGATCCTCTTCGGAAGCCATCTTCTACCCTTAAAGAAACAAAGATAACAAGAATATATAGGATACAGAGAGACAGATCGAGAGAGTGAGGATAAAGAGAGACAAACTAAAATAATAGTGCTGAACAACTCAAATCATTGGAGCAAGAAAGTCCAGTCAAATTCCATGTATTAATCGAGAGCTTATAATAATTAAGTAAGTAAACATACAAAACAAAGCAAACATAAAAAGAAAAATACGGAGATAGATATATTGCTCTAGCTAGTCTCAAAGACAGAGACAAACACAAGATTCATAAAAGAAAACTATATATATATATGAAGGGAAAGGATTTGGAGTCATGTGAGAAATATATATATATGCATGGTCCCCTAGAAGTAGAAGCAGTGCTGTGAAAAGTGTTGCAAGCAACAGCATTAAGGCTATAGTATATGTGAATTATTAGCTAGAAAACATAAGAGATAGAAAAGAATGAAAATCAAAAAATTACCGAAAGAAAAGAAATCACAGAGGCGCTCGAGTCTTTATGTAGAAGGTTCGATCTGGCAGAAAGGAATCTTTGGTAACACCATGTGCAGTGGTGAACTTTGTCTCAGAGACACCTACACCAAACCTGCCTCCAAAAACAAACAACCAAAGAAGATTCCAAAAATACAAATACTGCATTTTAGCTACGAGTATTAAAAATAAATAAACAAATCATGAGGGGAAATGTGGCTATGCATAGCGAGAGAGCATGAAGAAGAAGCTTGGGGATGAGGAGGAGAGTCAATGATTATTCAAAGAGGCTCTCTCTCTCTCACACACACACACAGAGAGACGTACAATGTGACAATGGCAATGGCAATGTGGGGGAACTTTAAAAAAAAAAAAAAAACTTTCTTGTAGCCTTGCTAAAGCTAAGAGATGATTCAAGAGTGAAATCAGGCGCAAAGTCATACAAATATCTTACCCTCAAACAAAAGACGCCCCGTGCGTAGAAGGAAGATATTTAGAGAAAACAAAACAACAAATGGAGGAGATCGATCTCCATCTCCACCTCCACGGAGGCAGCCACCAAATTGTCTCTCTCTTCCTCCCTCTCTGGTAGATATAAAGATGATGATGAATCAAATCAGACTACTTTTGATATTGGGAGTAAAAGCACCAATTCGTTCGTTAATTGGGGGTTTTATGCAAATCGTCCTCTCTCTCTCTCTCTCTCTCTCTCTCTGAATTTTGGCAAATCCTCCTCTCTCTTCTCTCTCTTTTTTTTTTTTTTTAATGTTTCCTTTTCTTTCTTTTGAATCCTAGTAGTTAAATTAGTAAGCGACACAGAGGGCAGCAAGGCATGTTTGCGACGGAAACTGCAGCGCTAAAGAAAGCAGATGTAGTAACTTTGTGTTTTTCAATTACCATTTTTACCCCCACCGATCAGAGAGTTAACTAACTATTGCTTCAACCAACCTTTCTCGCACTGCCCTGTTGTTAATTAAAAGTGTTTTTACTGCACTCTCCCAATATTAATCTCAGCAGATTAATTATTTTTGTAACTAACGACTACATCGTTCCATTACATCAATCACCTTTCCGTCTTAGTGACAAGTCACCAATCGCTCATTGCTTTTGCAAGCTATATTGCTTTCCATTTCATTTCGTTTCTAAGTAAGTATATATATATATATCGTTAATGAGAGTTTTTTCTTCTCTTATTATCGTTAATGAGAGTTATTTGATAACAGTTTCAAATATACTGCAAAAAAAGAAAAGAAAAAAAGAAAAAAAAAAAAAAAGAAGAAAAGGAAAAAGAAAAGCACAGGTGCACATGGGTGTTCCGTTTTTGTGCCTTGTAAATTTTTATATAAAAAAAAATGAATATATCATCAGAGCTGAGGCAATGCATGTGCGTGCGCACACCTCCTTTTTCCTTACACCCTACGCACATTTAATATTATATACTACTACTGTTACTGATTAAATGTAACACTAGTACATTAAGAGAGAGAGAGGCTTCCATTCATCTTTATGTTTTCCTTTTTCCATATTTTTCATGACTGACTTTTTTTTTTTTTTTTTTTTTGGTAAAAAGTTAAATTTTTTTATGATTTATTTCATGACTGACTTGTACCTGCTATAAGTATAGATGAAGCATAATGTAAGAGTGTAACTTTTTTTTTTTTTTTTACATGCGTTTCTTGTTTTTATCTCACTTGTTGAAAGAAAAAATAATATGTGTATAAGCCAAACCAACCAAGGGTACTAATTAAGTTTCAACCACATTAATTATATGATTTATTTGATACAGATGTTACGTTGTTGGTTCATGCATGCATATGAATACAACTAGTATGCACTGATAGCTTGGTCGGTAGTCTGCGTATTGAAGAGACTTGTGTTCTTCTTTTTTTAATATCTTTTTATGTTATGATAGATGGGTCATGTGTAATTGTGTATTCTTTTTCTTTAATATCGTTCTATATTGTTCCGTGAATGTGTATTATAATATTAATAAGCCTACAACATTTATGTCAAAGTGGATCTTTTGTGTAGGAAATAGACATGTTTAATAAATTAAAGGGCCATGCACATGATGTTGATGTGGATGTGGACGAAAGTTTCTCAACTATATGTCACATGATGATTCATACAAGTCAACGCTTCTACTTCTTCTTTTTTTTTTTTTTTTTTTTGTCTTCAGCGCTCTACTTCTTTCTTTCTGTTTTTTTTTTTACTATCTTTCTTCTGAAGGACCACCGTAGGTGGGCTCTTGTCACAAAAGCCCATAGTTAAGAATAAAAGATGTTCCTTAATGTTGGGCCTCGCTACACCAGCTATATCAAAAAAAATAAAGAATTTGAAAGAAATAACAACACAGGGTATGAATGGTGTACTTGCGAGTGACCTAAGGTAGACCCAAAGCAAAACGTCGCATATGAACGAAACGAACGATATAATTGCTCTTAATTCTCTCGTTGCTCAAATCATAGCCTCAAAGCTAAGATGCAAATCGGTTTATACAAACGGTAGAAAAGGTACAAAATCCAAAGAACTCAAAAGGGAAGCAAAAACTAGTGTTTTACTTTCGATGCACCAAAATTTAACAAAATCCGTTGTAGTCTAGCTGGTCAGGATACTCGGCTCTCACCCGAGAGACCCGGGTTCGAGTCCCGGCAACGGAGTTATCTTTTACCTTTTTAACATGGGAAGTACTGTACTGAACTGTACAGCAAACAACAACATAACGGTGTTTAGCCCGCTCCACAAATATATAACTCTCAATAGGCCTACAAAAGGTAAGGTCCTATTATCGATTGTTTCGTTGATGGGTTTTTTGGTAAGCCCATCCGCCGGTTATAAGCTGCCGAACAAAGTAGTATCCCGTCGGGGGAATATGCAGCAGAAGCCGAAAGAGACCGTACACGTTGACGTATACCACACGGGCCTTAATCTATAGTCACCTAGTTTCGGCAATGTTCGGTACACTCTCAGTCTCTCGCTTGTCTCTTCTGTTCCATTTTTCTACATATTAATAAGAGAATATCAAAGATTCCTTTTTTTCTTTGATAAAATTATATAAACGTGCTATGATTCCTTTTTCAATCTCTATATAACATTGATCTGTTTCAGCTTACCAACAAATAAATAAATAAATAAATAACAGTAATTAAACTGATTTTCAAACCATGTCTTTTTAGTTTAAAGATGATAGTTACGTCGTTAAATGTGCCTTAGCCACTAGCTAAAACTACCTGATTCCACTTTGAAAACATCTTACTATCTGTTATATATATTACTACATTACATCTAAAATATACATTGTTAACGCAAATTACATGTTACGTTCATTTGACTTCTACAGTCGTGTAAAAACCCACCATTTGGCAATTGCATAAGAAACTTTATACAAAAGAAGAAGAAAAGAAAAAACATAACTTCTCCAAGAGAGTTGGAACGTGAACGAACTAATGAACGATTTTCAAAGCACGTGACACTCTTCCTAGTTCCTACCCTCCAAATTTAGATTCCTACATTTTCAGATTCCTTTATGCGATAAGCATTGCTGGATCCATCGTAACCGGATTTAACTCACTCAGTCTACGCATTCTCACTAGCTGACCCCGATCGAGTAAATAGATTTTTGTTGTTATGATTTGTTACTCTTTCCGACTATAATTATTTTTATTTTATCATTATTTTTTCGTGTTCGATTAAGTATCGTTTTAGATTTTTAATTTTAAGAATTATAATCTTGTACTTGCTACTTTAACGTCCTAACCGGAAGAAAAAAAATTGTTTAGCTTATTAGGGGTGAAAACAAAAATTGGATCGTTTTCTTAAATGTTTGTGAGAAAGTCTTAAAACTACATTTATAAATGAAATGATCAAGAGTACTATATATATACACCGTTACTTATCTTTCTTTTTTTTGTTTGGGGCAAATACACCATTACTTATCTATTTAATGGAAAAACCAGTAAGCCAGTAACGCAAGACCCCATACGATCATAATGGTTAAGACTTAAGAGTTGAGAGATGAATGAATGGTGTGGGACTGTGGGTTTATCCTTCAGTTGTTGTTTGGTCTCATATTATTGAATAACGTAAAAAGCCATGGCAAGGATATCGTGAAAGTACCCTTACAGAGTCCGTTTGAGTCATATGCCATTATGTATGGGTTGTGTGGTAATTCTACTAGACGATGCGTAAAACTGAACGTACGAAGAGAAAATAATGTGACGATAAGAATGTTATTTTGCTCCATCACATGTCTTGTTGGCCCTCACTGACCTCTCTAATTAATCTAGGCACACACCTCAACATTCAACTTCCGTGAAACTAGCCCCAGAAAAAAAGTCCTATCCGTTATTAACATTAATATATATTTTGTAGTATTAACTTTTTAACAAAACGGGGGAATAATAATACATAACTTATATGAAAATTGTTTCTCAAAGAAGAAAGAAAGCATATGTAAAGAAATTTAATACTTCCCCCGAAAAAGCTCTCAAAAAAGACCACCCTCTTTTGGGCTAAATACCTTCTTTCTCCTCTAGTGTATCTCATTAGGGTGTGAAGAGAACTTTTAAACTGGAAAACCTTTTCCTTTTTAGCCGCTTTATCCTGTTTAGTCAATTATTGAAGTTTTTTTCGTGAATCTGGAAAGAGTAAAAGTGTTTCTTCTTAGATGTTCTTCATTTCTGGGACCACTTTTTCTAGTTTTCGGAAGCTTTTGTTTGTTTTCAAGGCTGTCTATTTTCTTCCTTCCTCGGTTTCGCTCCTGTGTTTGGATCTGTGGTTTTTGGAAGAAAATAAGGGTTATTTTGACAAACGTGTCTTGGGTAGTCATGTCCTCTGCTATGGATAAGGCTATGTTGGCCATGTCCTTGGAAGAAGAAGATGAGGTGCCTTTTGAGATGCCAGATCTGCCGGAATTCAGTTCAGTTGAGAGAAATTCGATCAGCCTGATTGGTCGAACCCTAAATCCTTCTTGTCAGCCAATGAAGAACCTTATCAGAGTCATGCCTAGAAAATGGCAGAAACCGGGAAGGATGAGAGGTGTTGCTCTATCTAACGAGAAGTTTCAGTTTATCTTTGATTCTGAACATGATCTTCTAGAGGTGCTTGCTAAGGGCACGCATACGTACAATGATTGGTCTTTAGCTGTGGATAGGTGGTATGAAAGTCCTCCGGCAAACTATCTGCAGTGTATTCCGATTTGGGTTCAGATATGGAATCTCCCGGTGAACTTTTTCACGGTGAAAGCCATCACAGCTTTGGGAGAGTTGATTGGGGAAGTGAAAGAGGTTGCTTTTGACCCCGACATTCCACAAATTCAAGAATTTGTTCGGGTGAAAGTCTTATTTGATGTCTCTCGTCCCTTAAGGAGAGCCAAAGAATTGAAGCTTCCAAAAGGAGGAGTCACCACGATTCGCTTTCAGTATGAACGAATACAGAAACGATGTTATGAGTGTCAGAGGTTGACACATGAAAAAGACTATTGTCCCATATTGATTAAGAAAAGGGAAGATGATGCTGCTGCTAGGAGAGCTGGTCGCTCGGTGCCTAAACCAACAAGAGTCCCGTTTCTGAAAGAGTCTGATCCATTGTTTGGAATTCTCAGAGAGGATCAAGTTGGATTGGACCCAGCCACTGGTCGACAAAGGATTGCGGCTGATGTCTTAGAAGGGATGAGACAGTATCTGCTAGTTAATAACAATGAAGATCGGCATGTCAAAGCTAATAGAATAAAGAAATCAGTTAGTGAGGTGGAGAAGGACCCGATTGCCAAGAAAACCATTCTCAGGATGGAGACAGCCCCGATTGTTCATGTTGATGTAAACAAAGATAAAGGAATTGTCTTTGGTTTTGAAGAACCGGAACTGGTAGCTCGAGAGGAGGAGGCTCAGGAGGCTGGAACTGGTGAAAGAGTTAGTGGTAATCTGGTTATGAAAGAGAGAACTTGGCTGGTGGAAGAAGAATCAAATCATAGTTCTGATGCTTTGGGGTCCTTTCTTGCTTTGTCGCAGCCCTTTCAAGATAGATCTACGGGTTTTAGTACCGGTTTCTTTGAGGCTGGTACTTCCAGATCTAAGTCAAAGAAAGGAAATCAGAGAAAGAGACCTCCCTCAAGAATTAGAAAACCAAAGCCAAAGCTATCTCAAGCTGCAATGGAAGACCAGTTGTTGCACTTAGATCTATCAAGGAATGTGAAAGAGAAAAGGAAAGCAGAAGATGGAGGACCAAGCACTGCTAAATTGTCAAAGCTTAACCCTCTGAAGGTGATCCCAAATGAGGGATCGCCCAATGGTTAATGAGTATCATTAGCTGGAATTGTCAAGGCTTGGGACGGTCTCAAGACTTGGTGATTCCTCGTCTCAAAGAGATGCGTAAAAAGCATTTCCCTGAGATGTTGTTTCTAATGGAGACGATGCAAAGTAGAGAGAGTTTGTTTGATGTACAGTGCATGTTGGGTTATGATAGTATGTATACTGTGAACCCAGTTGGAAAGTGTGGAGGTCTAGCGCTCTTTTGGAAGGGTAGTGTACAAATTGATATTTTGTTTGCTGATAAGAACTTAATTGATGTTCAAGTACAGTTTGGAGCATCTAATTTCTTCTTATCATGTGTATATGGTGATCCGGATGTTAGTTTGAGAAGCTCAGTTTGGGAAAGAATATGTAGAAGTGGGATTGGCAGACGAGATAGATGGTGCATGATTGGGGATTTTAATGCCATAAGACACAATGGAGAGAAGATTGGAGGGTCGAGAAGAAGTGATAATTGTTTTAAGCCTTTCAATGAAATGATTGAAGTTTGTGGGATGATAGAGCTCCCTAGTTCTGGCAATAAATTCACGTGGGCAGGAAGAAGAAGGGACCATTGGATTCAATGTTGCCTAGATAGAGCCTTAGTGAACAAAGATTGGTTGGATACCTTCCCAGCTTCTAACCAAGCGTTTTTAGACATGAGAGGCTCTGATCATAGACCTGTCCTGCTTTGCCTGATGGCTTCTCAAGACGCTTATAAAGGCCAGTTTCGATTTGATAAAAGATTTCTCCATAAAGCAGAGGTTCAAATGGCAGTGAGAAAGGCTTGGAAACCTGGAATTATTGGGGGAGGTTTTCTTGTTTCTCAGAGGTTAAGGGAGTGTAGAAAAGCTTTAAGCTCATGGAAAAAGAAGAACATGATGAATTCCAGAAATAAAATTCATCATTGTGAGCTGGCTCTTGAGAAGGTACAGTCTGGAAGATGGCCAAACCCTCAACAGGTTCATGTTCTAAAAAGAGAGCTGGTTAAAGCATACAGAGAAGAAGAAGATTATTGGAGTCAACGGAGCAGACAAAAATGGTTGATGTCTGGTAAC